GCAAGAGCACAGCGCAGAATGCTGCATGAGGTAAAGAAGAATCCCAGAGTGTCAGCTAAAGACCTACAGAAATCTCTGGCACATGCTAACATTTTTGTTGACACATCTACAATAAGGAAAACATTCAACAAGAATGGAGTACATGGGAGGACACCACGGAGGAAGCCATTGCTGTCCAAAAAGAATATTGCAGCACGTTTGAAGTTTGCAAAAGAGCACCTGGATGTTCCACAGCACTACTGGCAGAATATACTGTGGACAGATGAAACCAAGATTGAGTTGTTTGGGAAGAACACACAACACTATGTGTGGAGAAAAAAAGGCACAGCACACCAACATCAAAACCTCATCCCCACTGTAAAACATGGCGGAGGGAGCATCATGGTTTGGGGCTGCTTTGCTGCCTCAGGGCCTGGACAGATTGTTGTCATTGATGGGAAAATGAATTCCAGAGTTTATCAAGACATTTTGCAGGAAAACGTATGACCATCTGTCCGCCAACTGAAGCTCCGCAGAGGATGGGTGATGCATACAAGTAATTCAACAAAACAATGGCTGCAACAGCACAGAATACGCCTTCTGGAGTGGCCCAGTCAGAGTCCTGACCTCAACCCGATTGAAATGCTGTGGCATGACCTTAAGAGAGCGATTCACACCAGACATCCCAAGAATATTGCTACACTGAAACAGCTTTGTGAAGAGGAGTGGTCCAAAATTACTCCAGATCGTTGTGCAGGTCTGATCTGCAACTACAGGAAACGTTTGGTTGAGGTTATTGCTGCCAAAGGAGGGTCAACCAGTTATTAAGTCCAAAGGTTCACATACTTTTTCCTCCCTGCACTGTGAACGTTTACATGTTATGTACAATTAAACCATGGCAACATCTAATGTTTGTGTAGTATTATGTTCAGCAGACTGTGTTCTTCTATTGTTGTGACTTAGATGACGTTCAGACCACATTTTATGCCCAATTCATGCAAAACTCCACGTAATCCCTAGGGGTTCACATACTTTTTCTTGCAACTGTATGTGTATATATATATATATATATAGTGGGGCAAAAAAGTATTTAGTCAGCCACCAATTGTGCAAGTTCTCCCACTTAAAAAGATGAGAGAGACCTGTAATTGGCATCATAGGTAGACCTCAACTATGAGAGACAAAATGAAAAAAAAATCCAGACAATCACATTGGCTGATTTGGAAAGAATTTATTTGCAAATTCTGGTGGAAAATAAGTATTTGGTCACCTACAAACAAACAAGATTTCTGGCTCTCACAGACCTGTACCTTCTTCTTTAAGAGGCTCCTCTGTCCTGCACTCATTACCTGTATCAATGGCACCTGATTGAAATTCTTATCAGTATAAAAGACACCTTTCCACAACCTCAACAGTCACACTCCAAACTCCACTATGGTGAAGACCAAAGAGCTGTCGAAGGACACCAGAAACAAAATTGTAGACCTGCACCAGGCTGGGAAGACTGAATCTGCAATAAGCAAGCAGCTTGGTGTGAACAAATCAACTGTGGGAGCAATAATTAGAAAATGGAAGACATATAAGACCACTGATAATCTCCCTCAATCTGGGGCTCCATGCAAGATCTCACCCCGGGGGTCAAAATTATCACAAGAACAGTGAGCAAAAATCCCAGGACCACACGGGGGGACCTAATGAATGACCTGCAGAGAGCAGGGACCAACGTAACAAAGGCTACCATCAGTAACACACTACGCCGCCAGGGACTCAGATCCTGCAGTGCCAGACGTGTCCCCCTGCTTAAGCCAGTGCATGTCCGGGCCCAAATGAAGTTTGCTAGAGAGCATTTGGATGATCCAGAAGAGCATTGGGAGAATGTCATATGGTCAGATGAAGCCAAAATAGAACTGTTTGGTAGAAACACAACTTGTCGTGTTTGGAGGAGAGAGAATGCTGAGTTGCATCCAAAGAACACCATACCTACTGTGAAGCATGGAGGTGGCAACATCATGCTTTGAGGCTGTTTCTCCGCAAAGGGACCAGGAAGACTGATCCATGTACAGGACAGAATGAATGGGGCCATGTATCGTGAGATTTTGAGTGGAAACCTCCTTCCATTAGCAAGGGCATTGCAGATGAAACGTGGCTGGGTCTTCCAACATGACAATGATCCCAAACATACCGCCGGGCAATGAAGGAGTGGCTTCGTAAGAAGCATTTCAAGGTCCTGGAGTGGCCTAGCCAGTCTCCAGATCTCAACCCCATAGAAAACCTTTGGAGGGAGTTGAAAGTCTGTGTTGCCCAGCGACAGCCCCAAAACATCACTGCTCTAGAGGAGATCTGCATGGAGGAATGGGCCAACATACCAGCAACAGTGTGTGCCAACCTTGTGAAGACTTACAGGAAACGTTTGACCTCTGTCATTGCCAACAAAGGATATATAACAAAGTATTGAGATGAACTTTTGATATTGACCAAATACTTATTTTCCACCATAATTTGCAAATAAATTCTTTCCAAATCAGCCAATGTGATTGTCTGGATTTTTTTCTCATTTTGTCTCTCATAGTTGAGGTCTACCTATGATGCCAATTACAGGCCTCTCTCATCTTTTTAAGTGGGAGAACTTGCACAATTGGTGGCTGACTAAATACTTTTTTGCCCCACTGTATATATATATACAGTTGTGACCAAAATTATTCAACCCCCAATGCTGTAAAGGGGTTTAGGGACTATAGTGTACATTTGGAATTGTATTCAGAATCAAATCCTACAAGGACGTTGTAACTACCCAAATGCAACTAAAATGACATCAATTGTTTATGTAATACAGTAGTAAATGGTTCTTATGTGGTTTCTTCATTGCCACAATTATTCAACCCCTTAAAGACTACCACTCTGAAGAACAGAGGTTCATACAGGTGCTTTCCATCAGGTATTGAAAACACCTGTGGATGTCACCGAGCAGCAATCAAGCATAATAAGCACCAATTAGGCAGCTTTAAAATGACTGTGATACTCAGCTCCTTCTAGACATTTACTGGTGTGGTTACAAACATGGTGAAGGCAAGAGAATGGTCCAGGAAGACAAGAGAAGAGGTGATTTCTCTTCACAGGAAGGGCAATGGCTATAAGAAGATTGCAAAGATGTTAAACATACCAAGAGACACCTTAGGAAGCATCATTCGCAAATTCAAGGCAAAGGGCACTGTTGAAACGCTACCTGGTCGTGGCAGAAAGAAGATGCTGACTTCGACTGCTGTGCGCTACCTGAAGCGTAGAGTGGAGAGAAGTCCCCGTGTGACTGCTGAGGAACTGAGAAAAGATTTGTCAGATGTGGGTACAGAAGTTTCAGCCCAGACAATAAGACGCACACTGCGTAATGAAGGCCTCCGTGCCAGAACTCCCAGGCGTACCCCCTTGCTGTCTCCAAAGAATAAGAAGAGTCGACTGCAGTATGCCAAAAGCCATGTGGACAAACCACAAAAGTTGTGGGATAGTGTTCTGTGGACTGATGAAACAAAATTAGAACTGTTTGGGCCCATGGATCAACGCTATGTTTGGAGGAGGAAGAACAAGGCCTATGATGAAAAGAACACCTTGCCTACTGTGAAGCATGGTGGAGGGTCAATCATGCTTTGGGGCTGTTTTGCTTCTGCAGGTACAGGGAAGCTTCAGCGTGTGCAAGGTACCATGAATTCTCTTCAGTACCAGGAGATATTGGATGGAAACGTGATGCAGTCCGTCACACACCTGAGGCTTGGGAGACGTTGGACCTTTCAACAGGACAATGATCCCAAGCATACCTCCAAGTCCACTAGAGCATGGTTGCAGAGGAAAGGCTGGAACATTTTGGAGTGGCCATCGCAGTCACCAGACTTAAATCCGATTGAGAACCTCTGGTGGGACTTAAAGAAAGCAGTTGCAGTGCGCAAGCCTAAGAATGTGACTGAACTGGAGGCCTTTGCCCATGAAGAATGGGCGAAGATACCCGTAGATCGCTGCAAGACACTTGTGTCAAGCTATGCTTCACGTTTAAAAGCTGTTATAACTGTAAAAGGATGCTGTACTAAGTACTAAGATTGAATGTCACTTGGGGGTTGAATAAAACTGATAATGCTGTGAGCACAGAAAAGACATTTGTGGTTATTTCATTATAACTGTTATGTTATATTTGTCTGACCTACAAGTGCCTCTTTAATGTAAATGTAAGCAAGATGACTGAATGATCAAAAGCAATGTCAAACTGGCCAAAACACTCAATTTCAGTGGGGGTTGAATAATTTTGGTCACAACTGTATATATATATACACACACACACACACACACTGTATGTTCAAATGCGTTTTTATTGCAAAATATATGAAAAATATTTTTAAAACTACATTTTCAAATATACTGTATGTCTTCAAAAATACACTTAATCTATATTTTTGGAATGCATTTACAAATATATGTAAAAATATATCTTTAAAATGACTTTTCCATATGTTAAAAAAAATCTGAAGAATATATTTTAAAAAAACATATTTTTAAAAATATTTTTCATGTATTTTGTAATATGTAAACAAACACATTTCAGTATAGTGTGTGTGTGTGTTTATTATATATATATATATATATATATATATATATATATATTATACACATATATACACACATATAAATACACACACTGCATATTGACATGTTTTTTTTTTACATATTACAAAATAAGTGGAAAAAAAAAAAGTGTCTGTGTGTATGTATATATATATATATATATATATATATATATATATATATCTATCTATCTATCTATCTAGAAATATATTGAATACGGTCAAAATTGTAGTATTTCAAATATATGTCAATATATTTGGGCAGGAAATTTTTAAATTATTTAAAATATATTTTTTCTTCCATGTGGGTATGATATAGTTTAAACCTTGCACCCCCCCCCCTCCCCACACACACACACGCACACTATAGGTAATTGAAAGCCAATCACGAAAACCGTCTTTTTGTTCTCTTCCTGGCAGATGGACGTGAATTGAACAGATCCTCGGAAGACTTGTCCCCACACACCAATGCCGACAATGTGATGCCAGGTTCTCATACAGGACTGTACAATGCTCCTAGTTTTTCCGATCCTTCTAATTTTGAGGAATCTTTTAGAGTCCATGATGTTCGCCGGGGAATTTACAGCGAAGGTAGAAGAGCCAGTTCCTCTAATCCTGAGGGATCTTTTAATGCTCAGTCGCATAGCTTTCGTTCAGACATCCGTTCAGGACCGTACGGTGCAGAGGGGTTGGTCAGTCCCTCTGGTTCTGAGCAATATCTCCCAGGTAGATCACATACCGTTGCTCCAGATTTGCACCTAGGTGGATCACCAGACCCTTCCAGTTCTGAGGGAATTTCTCTCAAGTCTCGTGGTCCAAAATTTCAGTGCCTAGAATGTGGGAAATGTTTATCCCAAAAATCTCATCTCATGGAACATTTGAAAGCCCACAAGCGGGAGAAGCCATATTCCTGCTCTGCGTGCGGGAAATGTTTCACGGGACAGGCCAACCTCAACCGCCACAAGAGTGTCCACAGCGGGGAGCACCCGTTCATCTGCCCTGAGTGTGGCAAGAGCTACGGGACGGTGTCGTGTCTCAATGAGCACCGTAAAACCCACAGTAACCACACGCCGTTTCCATGCGCCGAGTGCGGGAAATGTTTCCCCACAAACTCTGCCCTCCTCCAGCACCAAGACTCTCACACTAGCGAGGGGCCCTTTTCCTGTCCTGAGTGCGGGAAGAGTTACAAACGGAAGTGGGAGCTTCTTAAGCACCAGAAGGTTCACACGGGAGAGAAGCCCTTCTCCTGTACAGAGTGTGGGAAAAGTTTTGTCTGGAAGTTTGCGCTGAACACGCACCTGAGGCGGGTTCACTCTGCAGAGGGAACGTTCCTGTGCACCATATGTGGTAAGCTTTACCCATGTCGGGCCCGGCTTGTAGAACACCAGAAGATCCACTCGGGGGAGAAACCGTATTCCTGCGCGGAGTGTGACAAGCCATTCTCCTCCCGGTCAGAACTGGTGCACCACCAGAGGACCCACACTGGAGACAAGTCCTACCAGTGCTTGGAGTGTGGCAAGTCCTTCACGTGGACATTCCAGCTCCGAACCCACCAGCGCATTCATACTGGGGAAAAAACCGTTCTCCTGCTCTGACTGCGGCAAGAGCTTCACGCTGATGGCGCTGCTCCGGAGACACCAAAAACACCACACCGGCGACAAGCCCTACTCCTGCTCGGAGTGCGGCAAGCGGTTCATCACCAGGGCCGAGCTCATTGTTCACGAGAGGGTCCACCGGGGTGAGAAGCCCTTCCCGTGTCCGCAGTGTGGCAAGTGCTTCACCCAGCGCTCGCAGCTGCAGACGCACCAGCGCATTCATACGGATGAAAAGCCGTATGCCTGCACGGTGTGCGGGAGGTGTTTCGGACGGAAGTCCCATCTGGATAAACACCAGAGAACTCATACTCGCTGAGATGTGACCTTCTTAACTTTGGAGTTTGTTATATTAATGCAATAAATGTGTAATAAAAGTTTTATCCCATACTCGGCCTCTTACTTTTCTCTATGTATAAAAGCTGGTGGTCTTCTCAGAAACAATGGTTGTTGGCCTCTGCCTAGTGAAGGACCAGGCAGAGGCCAAAAACCCCACGAGTGGGCACTCGCAAAGTGTGAATGGGGCCTTAGAGTGGATCTGAACGCAGATTGAAGAACCACTGCCCTCAGTGGTCAAAGCACAGATAGAAGATGAGATGTTTCATGGTCTTCTCAGAAACAACGGTTGCTTCTGAGAAGACCGTGAGCACTAGGCAGAGGCCAACAACCAGGCAGAGACCAAAAACCCCATGAGTGGGAACTCGCAAAGTGTGAATGGGGCCTTAGGGTGGATCTGGACCCAGATTGAAGAACCACTGATCTCAGTGGTCAAAGCACAGATAGAAGATGAGATGTTTCATGGTCTTCTCAGAAACAATGGTTGTTGGCCTCTGCCTGGTGAAGCACCAGGCAGAGGCCAAACACCCCACGAGTGGGAATTCGCAAAGTGTGAATGGGGCCTTAGGGTGGATCTGAACCCAGATTGAAGAACCACTGCCCTCAGTGGTCAAAGCGCAGATAGAAGATGAGATGTTTCATGGTCTTTCTCAGAAACAACGGCAGTGGTTCTTCAATCTGAGTCCAGATCCACCCTAAGACCCCATTCACACTTTGCGAGTTCCCACTTGCGGGTTTTTTTTGGGGGTTCTTTTGCACCTTAAGGGGCAAACACGCGCCGAAGAAGCTCCAGAACCTTTTTGGGCATGGAGCGCCTTGTGCCTTTTAAGCGCTTACTTTGGTTGGTTTTTAGCACCTTTGCAGCACAGCAAAAGCACATTTCCTTTGTGTTTTGTCGCGTGTACAATTAATGCCAAGTTTGAATGCGGCCTTAGAGGGAAGGTATATTGCTTACAGAGCTCAGTAGCTCAAGACACACTTTAACAAATCTTGCTGATCACTCGGATTTTCAAGATATATTGCTTACAGAGCTCAGTAGCTCAAGACACACACTTTGATCAATCTTGCTGACGACTCAGATTTTCAAGGTATATTGCTTACGGAGCTCAGTAGCTCAAGACACACTTTGATAACAAATCTTGCTGACGAGTCAAATTTTCAAGGTATATTGCTTACAGAGCTCAGTAGCTCAAGACGCACACTTCCTTAACACATCTTGCTGATCACTCGGATTTTCAAGGTACATTGCTTACAGAGCTCAGTAGCTCAAGACGCACACTTTGATAACAAATCTTGCTGATCACTCGGATTTTCAAGGTATATTGCTTACAGAGCTCAGTAGCTCAAGACGCACACTTCGATAACAAATCTTGCTGACGACTCGAGTTTTCAATCAAAGGGAGCATGTATAAAATGTTTTTTTTTGTAAATACATAGTAAAGCACTGATATAAAACAGTAAAAATTAGATAAAATTTCCCCTCAAAGTATTTTGTTATGAAGAACGTTAGAGAAGGAGATGGAACACTCGGAACTTCCAAGAAGATGGGAACAGATTCAAAAGTTGGTTGGGAGATCTTGCTGCTGGGGTCCTTAAAGTCCCATCTGATGGCTGGATCCAAAAAAAAAAAAATATCTAAATGCCTTCAGCCACATGGTGCTCCAACTCTGAGTCTTCTCTTGGGTCCTTCAGCACCTTCATGATGTGGACACTTCTTATTGGATGTCCAGTGGTGGCTACTTTCAGGATCCAGAAGAGGAGGACTGATGTCATTATGGTGGATTGTCAAACTTGTGCTTCAAGATGTGCAGGAATTGTAGTCTACTGGGACCAGTGATGGTGAGGAACCAGGAGGGAGAGTTAGGTGAGGCTTCAGAGGGTAAGAGGGACAAAAGCCTATTAGGATGGGTTAGAGCAGGGTGTCAGACTCCTTTCCATTGCAGGCCACATCAGAATTAGGGTTGCCCTTAAGGTGCCGGTTGTATCTGTAGGACTAGATGTCCACAGCACCCCACCTTCCCTTACATCACATCAGGGGAAGAGGCTAGGAAGCAGCGCAGGGTCTGGAGGAGGACCAGAGGAGGGCTGGACTCAGCTGTAGGAATCTGGGTGGGGTACTGCACTGAGGCGCATGATCTGAAGGAGTTCTTTCCTCTCTGCTGTGCTGCCAAATGATGAGACGGTGGTGGGCAGAGGTAAGTCTCTCCACAGCTGCAGGGAGAAGTGCAGGATCTGGAGAAGGAGTTGTGTCCTCTCAGCTAAGACAAGTTGGGGGGAGATGGAGATGAGGGGGGTGCTGCAGCTGCACAGAGAGAGACACAGGACCTGTAGGAGGAGTTTAGTCCTCACTGCTGAGAAGGGGAGTGTCTGCATAGGCAAGCCATGACTGCATGGAGAAGTGCAGGATCTGGAGAAGGAGTTCTGTCCTCCTCTCAGCTAAGATAAGTTGGGTGTGGAGATGAGGGTGGTGCTGCAGCTACACAGAGAGGCACAGGACCTGTAGGAGGAGTTCTGTCCTCTCTGCTGCTCACTGCTGAGAAGGGGCATGTCTGCATAGGCAAGCCATGACTGCATAGAGAAGTGCAGGATCTGGAGAAGGAGTTCTGTCCTCCTCTCAGCTAACACAAGTTGGGGGCAGAGATGAGGGGCGTGCTGCAGCTACAGAGAGAGACACAGGATCTGTAGGAGGAGTTTTGTTCTCTGCTGCTCACTGCTCAGAAGGGGAGTGTCTGCATAGGCAAGCCATGACTGCATGGAGAAGTGTAGGCTCTGTAGAAGGAGTTCTGTCCTCTTCTCAGCTAAGACAAGTTGGGGGCTGCAGCTGCACAGAGAGAGGCACAGGATCTGTAGGAGGAGTTCTGTCCTCCTCTCAGGTAAAACAAGTTGGGGACAGAGACGAGGGGGGTGCTGCAGCTACACAGAAAGACACAGGACCTGTAGGAGGATTTCTCTCCTCTCTGCTGCTCACTGCTGAGAAGGGGAGTGTCTGCATAGGCAAGCCATAACTGCATGGAGAAGTGCAGGATCTGGAGAAGGAGTTCTGTCCTCCTCTCAGCTAAGACAAGTTTGGGGCTGCAGCTGCACAGAGAGAGGCACAGGATCTGTAGAAGGAGTTCTGTCCTCTCTGCTGCTCACTACTGAGAAGGGGAGTGTCTGCATAGGCAAGCCATGACTGCATGAAGAAGTGCAGGCTCTGGAGGAGGGGTTCGGTCCTCCCAGCAAAGAAGGTGGGGGCAGAGACGAGGGGGGTGCCGCAGCTGCAAGAGAGGTGCGAGGGCCACATAAAATAGCCTGCTGGGCCAGTTTCTGCCCGCTGGTTTAATCCAGGTGGGTTAGAGGTAAGTGTGAGGGAGGGGTCGGGAATACACTTTAGCCTGAATTTGGGCTTTAAGAAAGTTAAGGTCTCGGAATCAAGCTGTTCCTTGTAAAGAGGAGATGGAATACCTACCTGCTGCCTGCACGGCTGAACTTCATTAGAAATGGTCTCCCGGAGTCCACTTCAGGGAGTTTTGTTTTCCCATGTCCTACACAGCAGTCCTGTAGAGACGTTGAGGTCAGGAGGAGGAACCAGTAAGAAGTTGAGTGGACAACAAGGCCACCTTAAGAAGCTAGCAGGATGTCTGCCAATCATCTTCCAGTTCTAGTATAGTTATCTATATGTAAGTTATACATTGAAAAAGTACCTGTAGAACTTTTTTTGACACCGCTAAATGGCCATTCTTACACGGACGTGACTCCTCCACTGACTAATCCCCACCCCCCCCAAACAGGGTTTGATAGTAGGGATCCCTAATCGAGGGTGAAACGTGTTAGAAGTTGTTTCCTGGCAGAAGTAACAATGTATGAATGGCCAACGATTCCAACTAGGTAAGCTACTCCAAGTGGGTCTGCTGACACGGTCCTCCACATGGGCGCCATCTCATTTTGTCAGACTTCAGTATATGGAGTAATCGGGCAGCTGCATTACAAAAATAAAATCCACCTTTACTGAGTAAAAAAAACAAATCACTGCAGCAAGACACTGGAAAATGAGTCTTGATTAAGTGCTGATATAGCATGAAACATGTTGACTTTTTCTCATGCCCCAGTATCTTGCTACAGTGTTTTGTTGATTTTTTTACTCAAAAAAGTGGATTTTTTCAGAGTTCAGCTGCCCCCAAACTTTACTACAATGTATGAATAGCCATGTAGAAATTGTAATAATATTTATCGAAACCAAAAAAAAAAGCACAGCAGTGTACGAGTGCTTAGCCCTGATGGTAGCAGTGGGATACAGTATATCATCTGAATATATGAGTGGGGAGGTAGTATATGAGTTACTTGGAGGAGTCACAAGAATCTTTGCGGCTCACCTTTCTCTGCAAGCTGTAGACTGGCCTAGCCTGGGAGCCCTGGCTATAAACCTTGCCACTTTGGTTTTAATCTTCACAATTATTGACTTCTAATCTGGTTAGTGTGTTTCTAAACCCGGACCCCACATTCACAATATCTGCTCTCCCCGGACCCCGCATTCACTATATCCAGTCTCCCCGGACCCCGCGTTCACTATATCCGGTCTCCCCGGACCCCTCGTTCACTATATCCGCTCTCCCCGGACCCGGCGTTCACTATATCCGCTATTCCCGGACCCGGCGTTCACTATATCCGCTCTCCCCGGGCCCCGCGTTTCACTATATCCGCTCCCCCCGGACCCCGCATTCACTATATCCGCTCCCCCCGGACCCCGCATTCACTATATCCGCTCCCCCTGGACCCCGCATTCACTATATCCGCTCTCCCCGGACCCCGCATCAACTATATCCGCTCTCCCCGGACTCCGCATCAACTATATCCGCTCTCCCCCGGACCCCGCATTCACTATATCCGCTCTTCCTGGACCCCGCATTCACTATATCCGCTCTCCCTGGACCCTGCATTCACTATATGCACTATATCAAAGTCGGATCCAGTGTGAACCGGGGCTCATTGTCAAAGCTTGATTGAACAAGCTGATGTTAGGCCGGCCATACATGGGTCGAAAATCTAAAAAATTTTTCTGTCCGAAAATCGGACCTAAGAATAATTGGCCGATTTTCGCCATTAGTGGAGTCAATGGCACCGGCTGATTTTCGTGGTTCCTCCCCTTTTCAGCGATCGGGCATGTTGGAAAATTTGTGAAAAAACGACCGATTTTCGACTCGATGGTCAAATCGTACGATTGTTTTTCCGAAAAGAATATAGCCTGAGCCGTAACCTGGAAGGAACAGAAGCTTCACCTGTTATATGGGGTGAACCTTATGACTCGGTCGGTCGATTTTTGAAATCAATGATGGCGCCATCGGATTACCGAGCGAACGACGTTTTCGATTTTCGGAATTCGAACCGTGTATGGCCTGCATTAAAAGCTGATTGGCTGCCATGCTCAGTTGCACCAGATTTTGCACCCTCCAGTTTTAGTCAATCAACCCAATAGAGTCGCATGACAAGTGAAAACACATTGATTTCAATGGCGACCATTCTAATCAACTCAACGTTTAGAAAGCTTCCTGCACTACTTTGATGCAATTTCAATTGGGACTTGGGACCCACAGACTCTGAAGTCGCAATCACCTCACACTACATAGTCGTCCTGGAAATCGCACAACAATGGGATTGCACCAGTGTGAGCCGAGACCGGAGAGGGAGCAGCTACCGGGCAACAACAAAGTGCTTAGTAGGCTCACCAGAACCAGGAGCACCTCCAGAGACACCCAACAGAGGTCCCCAACTGTGTACCGACAAGGGGGCATCCAGACGGGTGTCAAACTACCACATTTATGGGGTTTTTTTTTTTTTGTTTTTTTTAAATCAAAACGATTTTATTTGGTTTTTGACCACACCAACAAACAAATCGGCAAAGCTGGCCATAGATGGGTATAATCTCGAAGGAAAATTCTTGGGAAAAGAAGGTTCTAAGAAGCTTCGTTCTTCTAATCGTTAGCAGGGTCAAATCGCTGTCTTGTTTTTGACCGCAGTGACGAGAAAATTCTAAGATGGAAATTATTGTCAAACGAATGTGGTAAAGTCCATCCATTCCAAAATCGAGTGTTATGAGCGAAAGAAATGAGAATTTTTGTACAAATTTCCTAAACATTTTTGTTTAAAATTCAATCCATCTATGGCCAGCTTAGTCTTTTTCAGAGTAAAAAAAACTCACTATATAAGAGAAAAAAAATAAAACAAAAAAATAAAACAACCCAATAAAGTTTTTCATTAAAAAAAAAAAACTTGTCAAGTGGTTTTGGTGCACATTTTTGCATAATTTTCATCAGCCCGGTAGCCATTTTTACAAGTCTTGTTCCTTGCAGCCGCTGAATCGCCGTGCCAGAATACTCCGGAACACGTCAGCTAACGGTACCGTTTGAGGCATTCATGAGTTCTCCACAGCGGAGAAAGGCCGACGCCTGGCGTAAACGACCCAGATCGTGCATAGCAGCAGAATACGGGAGGTGTGGGGACGGTTCTTCAACGTGGTCTTCAGCTGTAGAAGACAATACAATCCGTCTGAGAAACGTTCTCCTCAGGGGCGGGGCTTCACCGCAATGACACCACTGGCATGAAGCTCCAGGTGCTTCTGGAGGGTGGACTTCCGTGCGAAGTGCTTGCCGCACTGCAAGCAAGAGAATGGCTTCTGACCAGTGTGGATGGTCTGGTGGTTGTCCAGGGTCGACTTCTGAGCAAAGCACCTCCCGCACTCCGAGCAGCAGTATGGTTTTTCCCCAGTGTGAGTCCTCATGTGTTTTATGAACTGCGACTTCAGCGTAAAGCACCTGCCGCACTCCGTACAGGGCAGTATGTTCTCGCCGGTGTGAAGCCGCTGGTGGTTGACAAGGTGGGACTTTTGGGTGTAGGACTTGCCGCATTCAGCACACGAGAACGGCTTTTCTCTGGCGTGACGCCGCTGATGTTTATCCAGGTCGGCGCTGTGGGCAAAGAACTTCTCGCACTCCACGCATGGGAACACCTTCTTGCCCAGATGCTTCTTCTGATGGTCACCAAAAGCCGGTTTCTGGCTGAGCTGATCGCCACCATGCGCTCTCTGGTGTTCAACCATCTTCACCAAGCTGGAAAAGCACGGATATAACGTGTCCTCATGCGTCTCTGCCCGTTGTGTCATTGCACTGAAGGAAGATTCCTCAGGATTTGATGGCACTGGTGGTCTATATCCCATGAGAAGACTAGGAATTATATTTGGGGAGGCAGTCTGAGATTTGTCAGAAGATGTTTCCTCAGGTTTTGAGGGATCTGATGGTCTATATGGAATGAGAAGACCTGGATTGATATTTGAGATTGTATCTGATTTACCGAGCAAAGATCCCTCAGGATTAGAGGGATCTTTTGATCTATCTGCGCTGTCAAGTCCTGGATAGATATTTGAGGTAACAACATGTGATCTATTGGTATAAAAATCCTCTGAGTGAGAGGGCGGTGATCCAGCGACACCATGAAGTCCCTGATGGATATTTGGGGTGGGAGATTGAGAATAATTAGGAGAAAATTCTTCAGGATTGGGCGATCTGTCTACTTCGTGGAAGGCTGTATGGACTTTGAGGGAATCTCTTGAGTCATCCTCATCTGTGTCCCAGGCTGGAGGTAAAACAGGACATCCAATTGAAGATCTTTTGTTGTTGCCTTCCTCTGATGGGCAAAAAACACAAGATGTTTAACCACTTGAAGACCAGGCCTTCTATCGACACTTTTACTTTACAAATAAAGATCAGTATTTTTTGCAAGAAAATTACTTAACCCCCAAACATTATATATATATATTCAGTGAAGGAAATGCGTATTTGATCCCCTGCTGATTTTGAATGTTTGCCCACTCACAAAGAAATGATTGGTCTAAAAATCAAATGTTCGGTGTATTGCAACACTGAGAGACAGAATAGCAACAAAAAATTCAGGAGAAATGCATGTCTAACAAATGCTGACTGATTTGCATGTTCATGAGGGAACTAAGTATTTGATCCCCTATCATTCAGCAGGATTTCTGGCTACCAAGTGTCTTTCATACAGGTAACAAGCTGAGATTAGAAGCAGTCTCTTAAAGGGAGTGCTGCTAATCTCATTTTGTTACCTGTATAAAAGACACCTGTCCACAGGAGCAATCAAACAATCAGACTCCAAACTCTCCACCATGGCAAAGACCAAAGAGCTGTCCATGGATGTCAGGGACAAGATTGTAGACCTACACAAGGCTGGACTGGGCTACCAAACTATCGCCAAGCAACTCGGTGAGAAGGTGACAACAGTTGGTGCAATCATTCGCAAATGGAAGAAACACAAAACAACTGTCAGTCTCCCTAGGTCTGGTGCACCATGCAAGATCTCACTTCGTGGAGTGTCAATTGTTGCAAACATGCGCATCAGAGATGGACGCGGTTCAACCATTTTGTTAGGCATTGCCATTTTCTCCCCTCATCTTTCCACCCCTCCCTCTCACTGAGAGGAGACATGTGGCCAGAGTGTGTGTACTGTGTATGGGTCACTGGCAGGGCAAGGCATCCCTAGTCGGTGCCGAGCGGTCTGCGAAAGTGTAGCCTCTCTCACCTAGGCCAGGATAAGGCCAGTGTTCCCAAGAGAATTGGAGCCTCACTGACCAACCTGCCTGTGTAGTTTCACACCTCGTAAAACAGATAATGAGCCTTCCCAGAAGTTGAAAGAAATGCTGACCTGATGAGCCCAACTCAGTGGAGGTGACAGAATCAGATAAACTCTGTTAAACTCCATTTTTCCACTATGTCTCATATCTTGGAATATGAGAGACTTGCCTAAAAACCAGACATCGAGTCAGAATGGCTAGGAGCAGGCAAACAGTTTGATGGGTCATTCGAACTATCTCAGACCATCAGGGGAGCCGAAATATAGAACTCCTGAACCGTGCAACATCTTAGTTACATCTTCTCTGTAAACATTTTATTGCACCTGTTTGACCCTTTTAGTAATAAATCTCTCTTTCTGAAAGTGTTGAACTGTTTCTATAGTTCTTAATTGCAATTTACGAATCCCTGCCTTTGAAGAGAAGCTACTGTTTGTTTAAACCTCTGTATAACCAGCCTGCAGACCGTTTTATAAAGACGATTATTTCAATCATTATAGTGTTATAACTGATAACGCAAGTTTCCTCTTTCTCTGTCCAAAAAGGAGGTGGTGGCAGTGTGGAGGGTTAGTTGTGTAATTAACCCGACCCAGTAACAATCAATCGCTCAGGCTGTCGGTACATCGATCTGTATCCATTAGCTGGAAAATCTTTGTGCAGGGTACAGCTGGGCGTGGCATTGTTGCGCATGTCACATCGCGGTTTTAGATTGGCTAGTCCTTCGGTCACGAGTTTTGGTGAGAAGGTCTGGGGTCTGACGCCGCGATCGTGACATCAATGATCATTAGAACAGTGAGGAATCATCCCAGAACTACACGTGAGGGTCTTGTCAATGATCTCCAAGCAGCTGGGACCACAGTCACCAAGAAAACAATTGGTAACACACTACGCCGACAAGGATTGAAATCCTGCAGTGCCTGCAAGGTCCCTCTGCTCAAGAAAGCACATGTCCAGGCCCGTCTGAAGTTTGCCACTGAACATCTGAATGATGCAGAGGAGGACTGGTTGAAAGTGTTGTGGTCAGATGAGACCAAAATCAAGCTCTTTGGCATCAACTCAACTGGCTGTGTTTGGAGGAGGAGGAATGCTGCCTATGACCCCAAGAACACCATCCCAACTGTCAAACATGGTGGTGGAAACATTCTGCTTTGGGGGTGTTTTTCTGCTAAGGGGACAGGAAAACTGCACCGCATCAAAGGGACGATGGACGGGGCAATATACCATCAAATCTTGGGTGAGAACCTTCTTCCCTCAACCAGGGCATTGAAAATGGGTTGTGGATGGGTGTTCCGGCATGACAATGACCCAAAACTCGCGGCCAAGGCAACAAAGGAGTGGCTCAAGAAGAAGCACATTAAGGTCCTGGAGTGGCCTAGCCAGTCTCCAGCCCTTAATCCAATTGAAAATCTGTGGAGGGAGCTGAAAGTACAAGTTGCCAAACATCAGCCACCAAACCTTAATGACTTGGAGAGGATCTGCCAAGAGGAGTGGGCCAAAATCCCTCCTGAGATGTGTGCAAACCTTGTGGCCAACTACAGGAAACATCTGACCTCTGTGATTGCCAACAAGGGATTTGCCACCAAGTACTAAGTCATGTTTTGTGAAGGGGATCAAATACTTATTTCCCTAATGAACATGCAGATCAGTCATCATTTATTAGACATGCATTTCTGCTGAATTTTTTGTTGCTATTCTGTCTCTCAGTGTTACAATACACCTACCATTCGATTTTTTTAGACCGATCATTTCTTTGTGAGTGGGCAAACATTCAAAATCAGCAGGGGACCAAACACAGATTTAAACATCCCTTGTGACAGCAATAGACAGTGACAGGTAGGTACTCTTTATGGAGAGATCTGGGGTCTATTAGACCCCGGCTGTCTCCTCTCCCTCTACAAGCATCTGATATGTGTGATCGGATACTTTCTACATTTAAAGATGGCACTGATTACAACCGGAAAACTGGAAGTAACAAAAATGCTCCTCTCTTCTGGTTTCCTATACTGTAGAGCTCATCGGGGACCATCTGGTCCTCAGCAAGCCCTATAGTAAGCCGGCCTGTAAAAACAAATCAGCAGCCAATTAGCCACTAGGATAACTTTTACATAAGAGCTGGCCACCGGCTGAAAAAAAACCAAAACTGGGATGATGCCTAAAGCTGGAGGCATCACACTGGTATAACCACTTAGAGTCGAATGATGTACATGTTTGTGATTTGGCATTAAGTGGTTCATATTCGGGCTCATGACTTATACACTAAAAAAGATAAAACCGCTCCTGAATAAAATATAATCCATACGGCCATCTGCTTGTGGAGACCTGATCATCACATCTATATAATCTTGTTGGCCATCCCATTCCAACACCATGGGCATGAATTTGGAGTCGCCCCCATTCAACAGCCTACACTCTTCTGGGAAGGCTTTCTCCAAGAGTTTGGGGTGTGTCTTTGGGGATTTGCGCCCCATTTAGCCAACATTAGAACATTTGTGAGGTCAGCTACTGATGTTGATAGGAAGACTTGGCTCACAACTGGTGTCTTGTTTCATCCCGAAGGTGTTCAGTAGGGTTGAGGTCAGAGCTCTGTGCAGGCCACTCTAGCCCTTCCACTCCAAAGGCATCAAATCATGTCTTTATGGAGCTGGCTTTGTGCACAGGGCAAAGCCATAGTAGAACAGAAAAGGGCCTTGGAGGGTTGGAAGAGCATGGCTTTGGGCACAGGGGTACAGTCATGCTGGAACATAAAAGGCCCTTAACAGGAAACACCTGGATGCAATATTTTGATGAGGGTTTCTCAACCAGGGCTCTGTGGAACCCTAGAGTTCCTCCAAAGGTTGCTAGGGGTTCCTTGAGCAATGACCAATGTTTTCCTCTCAGATAAGTTCCCACTGACACCAATTATCTTTTTAGGTATCTGAAAACGGGGATTCTTCCCAATGACAACAAGTACAAGGAGCATTCTTCCCAATGACCACAAGTGTGAGGAGCATTCTTCCTAATGACCACAAGTGTGAGAAGCATTCTTCCCAATGACCCCATGTGTGAGGGAGCATTCTTCCCAATGACCCCAAGTGTGAGGAGCATTCTTCCCAATGACCCCAAGTGTGAGGAGCATTCTTCCCAATGACCCCAAGTGTGAGGAGCATTCTTCCCAATGACCCCAAGTGTGAGGAGCATTCTTCCCAATGACCACAAGTGTGAGGAGCATTCTTCCCAATGACCACAAGTGTGAGGAGCATTCTTCCCAATGACCACAAGTGTGAGGAGAATTCTTCCCACTGACCATCACACTAATATATCATGCGTTGCAGATATAGTCATTTTAGCCGTGGTTCCTTGAGATCGGAAAGTTATTTTAAGGGTTCCTCCGTGTTGAAAAGGTTGGGAAAGTCTGCTCTGTGGTGATAGAGTGTATCTTTGCTATCAATTTAAATGCCACCACATGTAAGGCAAATGGTTCTGGAACTAGTTTTGAAAGAGTGTTCCCAAAACTCAACGGGTTTGGATGTGAGAAAAAAGGAACTGCAGACAAGGCTAGACCAAATGAGTGGGTCAGCAGTGTGGACTTAGCTAGGTTACTGTCAACACAAAAAAAAGCCTCCTCTGAAAACGAACGGTTGGTCAAAGGTTTTTACATATAGGGTAGGGTTGTGGATTACTGGCTGGTGGAACGGTCATAATCTACAAACAAGTGACGGATCTTAGGAGTGAAAAAACAGAAAGGAAAAGAAGAACAACTAAGAGATTCGTCTCTGTATTCACTTTTTGTCACTCACCTGTGTCAATCTCTTCGTGAACTTCCTCCTTGTACGGCTGACCATCCATCACACACGTCTCTTCATCTTCCTCTTTAATTTCAATTTTAATCTGGTCTATGCCCTAAACAGAGTCCAGAGAGCAAATCAGTACATGAGAAAAACCGAAGAAAACAGATGTACCCAACCTCTCTACAAACCATCTGGTGAGGTCCTCAGTTCCACCTACCTGATCGTGGTGAAGGATCTCCTGATCTTCCTGTGTGGAATCCCTGGAATATAGAGGACAGGGACATCTCTCTGGGGTATTTCTGTTACTGGATCCATCTGTAGAAAACACACACACTGACTGGATACATTGTTTCTATGTCTTTATATCAGAGGATGTGGGTATCTAGATGGATCCTCAATACAAGAAATTAAAGTCTCCTCTTACTCGGCGACGTGGGGGGGGCGGTTGGTCCTCTATGATGACATCCTTGTACAGATCCTTATGTCCTTCTAGATATTTGTTCTCCTTGGAGATACTCTCTGGGACATCCTGACACCTTATAGGAACCTGACACAAACAATGATACAGTCACCATCCAGACACATCCCTTGTCTGCTACTGGAGAATGTCCCAGAATTCCCAGCACCGCTCACCTCATCAGTCAGCAGCTCAATGAGCTTGTTGGTGATTTCTTCAACCTTCTCTATGTTTTTTTTCTCAAGACTTGGGGAATGAAGTGGAGGCACTGCAATGGAGTTCTGGCTTCGGCCCCATCGTTCCGACATAGCTGGATACATCCCTTGTAAAAGACCTTCAATACACGTTATCTTCACTGCAGCATATTTCTAAGGGGAAGAACAGAATACAAGGAGTGACGTCATGTGACCTCCCAGAATCCTCCTCACCTCTCCGGTCAGGTCTGTGTTTTATTAATAGAGATGAGTGACGTCATGTGACCTCCCAGAATCCTCCTCACCTCTCTGGTCAGGTCGGGGTTTTATATATAGAGATAGGAGTGACGTCATGTGACCTCCCAGAATCCTCCTCACCTCTCCAGTCAGGTCTGTGTTTTATTAATAGAGATAAGAGTGATGTTATGTGACCTCCCAGAATCCTCCTCACCTCTCCGGTCAGCTCTGTGTTTTATTAATAGAGATGAGTGATGTCATGTGACCTCCCAGAACCCTCCTCACCTCTCCAGTCAGGTCTGTGTTTTTATTAATAGAGATAAGAGTGATGTCATGTGACCTCCCAGAATCCTCCTCACCTCTCCGGTCAGCTCTGTGTTTTATTAATAGAGATGAGTGATGTCATGTGACCTCCCAGAACCCTCCTCACCTCTCCAGTCAGGTCTGTGTTTTATTAATAGAGATAAGAGTGATGTCATGTGACCTCCCAGAATCCTCCTCACCTCTCCGGTCAGCTCTGTGTTTTTATTAATAGAGATGAGTGATGTCATGTGACCTCCCAGAATCCTCCTCACCTCTCCAGTCAGGTCTGTGTTTTATTAATAGAGATCAGAGTGGTGTCATGTGACCTCCCAGAATCCTCCTCACCTCTCCGGTCAGCAGGTAGACGATCTCCAGAGTCAGGTTTAATATCCTCTCTGTCATCTGACTCTTCTCCTCCTTCTCCATCGATATGTACATGGTGTCATGTACAGCAGACATTCTCCTGTAGATCGTACAGTGATTGAGTTAACTGTTGGATGGCCGGAAAGATCTTGGGTAACAAATGGTCTATAGTGCTCATGTATGTCCTCCGGACACAGCGGAACACAGATCGTCAGCCGCACTCATAGTCCCATTAGTCAGTGCTCCCCAGTGTCAGTTAGTGTCAGATTGCCTGCCGCACTCACAGTCCCATTAGTCAGTTCTCCCCAGCGTCAATTAGTGTCAGATTGTCCTCCGCACTCACAGTCCCATTAGTCAATGCTCCCCAGCGTCAGTTAGTGTCAGATCACCTGCCGCACTATCACATTCCCATTATAAGTTGCTGATTGCCACCATTAGCAGTATAAAAATAACAATAAAAATTCCAGTATCATAGTTTTTAGGCGCTATAACTTTCACGCGGACCAATCAATATACACTTATTGGGATTTTTTTCTTTATCATAGACATGTAGCAGAATGCATTTTTGGCCAAAATTTATTAGAAAAATGTGTGTTTTTTTAATGGATATATGTTATAACAAAGGTAAAAAAAAAAAAAATTTTCTACATTTTCAGTCTTTTTTTGTTTATATCACAAAAAAAAAGCCCAGTGGTAATCAAAGAAATTTACACACATTACACAGCTGGGCACACATTTAACCCCTTGATTGCCCCTAGATGTTAACCCCTTCCCAGCCAGTGGCATTGGTACAGTGACAGTGTATAGTATTATCACCGATCACTGTATTAGTGTCACAGGTGAGGTCAGCAACAGTTAGTAAGTTCTCCCCAGCGTCAGTTAGTGTCAGATTGTCCGCCGCACTATCACAGTCCCATTAGTCAGTTCTCCCCAGCGTCAGTTAGTGTCAGATTGCCCGCTGCACTATCACAGTCCCATTATAAGTTGCTGATTGCCACCATTAGCACTATAAAAAAACAAAAAACAATTCCAGTATTGTAGTTTGTAGGCGCTATAACTTTCATGTGGACCAATCAATATACACTTATTGGGATTTTTTTTTCTATCAAAGACATGTAACAGAATGCATTTTTGTCCAAAATTTATTAGAAAATGTGTTTTTTTTTAAATATTTTATAACAGAAAGGTAAAAAAAACATTTTTTTTTTCATTTTCAGTCACTTTTTGTTTATATTGCCAAAAAAAAAAAAAAAAAAGCCCAGTGGTAATCAAATATCACCAAAAGAAAGTTGTATTCGTGTGAATAAAAAATGTTGTTTGGGTACAGCATTGCACGAACAAGAAGCGCGGGGCGGTATATAAGTTGCTGATCGCCACCATTAGCGGTATAAAAAAAAAATAATAAAAATTCCAGTATACGTTAGTTTGTAGACGCTATAACTTTTTTTATCAGACATATATCAGAATGCAATTTTGGCCAAAATTAGAAAATGTGTTTTTTTTTTTAAGTAATGGATATATTTTATAACAGAAAGGGAAGAATATTTTTTTTTCTACATTTTCAGTCTTTTTTTGTTTATATCACAAAAAAAAAAAAAGGGAAGCACAGTGGTAATCAAATACCACCAAAAGAAAGTTGTATTCGTGCGGGAGAAAAAAAAAAAAAAGACATAAAATGTTTGGGTACAGCGTTGCACGACCAAGAAGCGCAGGGCGGTATAGCAAAAAAATGACCTGGTCACGAAGTGGGTAAAACCTCGTGGTCACAAGTGTTTAAAAAAAAAAAAGAAAAAAAAAAAAATCCTTAGGGATTGGTGCATTCGGTTCACCAGATTTACCGCCATGCGGTGAAAATGAGAACCGACTCCTATCCTCCCCAACCCAACCAATGAGCAATCTTCAACCTTTGGTAAATAAGCTCCATGTACTTCACCTAAAGTCATGTAAAAATCCATATCTGCCTAGTCTTTAGGCGGGGAGCATCGCGGCGGGTGCCTTGGTTTGTATTGGGGTGTTGGCGCTGGCAGACGAGGGGCAGCGATGCCTCCATCGGTTCAGCACCGACAGGGTTAAAAAGCACAGAAGAGCAACCGAGAAGACTGGTGTTGGGTAAATGGACCATCTGCCGATCAAAGGTCCATGCAGCGGACATGGAGGAGGAAGCAGGATGACGGAAGGGGACCTCACAGGAAGACGCTGAGCTCCAAGTAAACAAATAATAATAATAAATTGAATTTAAAAAAAAAAAAAAAAAGTCATTACCTGCTGCCAGTTAGAGCAATGGTTTCCATCCACTTCCTGTTTCTTGACCTCTAGCCTGGAACTTCCTGTCTACAGGGTGCATCATTTCCTGTCTCTTCAATTGGCTACAACAAAATGGCAGCTGCTGAATTTATTTTTTTTTTTCTTTTTGCTTGTTATCTTGCAAAATACGCATAGCAGTCAATCATTGTATACATATGTGATAGATTTCTTTTTATTAGACATGATAATGAACATTAATTAATGTTTTCTTTTTATTTATTTATTTTTACATTTATTGGTACATAGTCACTCGTTTAATGTCCTCTTCAAGACCCGGCATTTTCAAGGATCTTTTGTTTCCAAGTTTAAATCTGTATTTTTTGCTATAAAATTACTTATAACCCCCAAACATTTTATATATATATATATATATATATATATATATAATATACATGATATATATCATATACATGATACATATATATATATAACTTTTTTTATTATTATTGTTATTATTTATTTTTTAATTATTTATTTTTTTAAGCAAAGACCCTAGAAAATGAAATGGTAATTTTTTTTTAATTTTTTTTTTACTTTTTTATGTCACATGGTATTCGCTCAGTGCAAAGTGCGGGCATCTTTTGTTTCCAAGTTTAAATCTGTATTTTTTGCTTTAAAATTACTTAAAACCCCCAAAAAAAAAAAAAAAAAAAAAAATATATATATATATATATATATATATATATCAGCACAGTGACTAAATGGTTAGCACTTCCGCCTGGCAGTACTAGGGTCATTGGTTCGAATCCCAACCACGGCACCACCTGCCTGGAGTTTGCATGTTCTCCCTGTGCCTGTGTGGGGTTTCCTCCGGGTACTCCAAAGACATGCTGGTAGGTGAATTGGATCCTGTCTAAATTGGCCCTAGTATGTGTATGTATGAATGTGAGTTAGGGACCTTAGATTGTATGTTCCTTGAGGGTTAGGGACTGATGTGAATGTACAATATATATATGTAAAGTGCTGCGTAAATTGACGGCGCTATATAAGTACCTGAAATAAATATAATTTATTTAATTAGTATTATTATTTTTTTTTTTTTTTTTTTTTTATGCAAATACCCTAGAAAATGAAATGATCATTTTTTTCATTTTATTTTACTTTTTTATGTCACATGGTATTTGCGCAGTGGTTTTTCAAGTGCAATTTTTTGTGAAAAATTACGCTTTAGTGAATTAAAAAACAAACAAACAAAACAACACAATATATATCCCAATTTGTTTTGTAAAATATGATGGTACGGCGAGTAAATAGATACCTATAATGTTACATTTTAAAATTGCGCACGCTCGTGGAATGGCGACAGACTACAGTACTAAAAAATCTCCGAAGGCGACGCGTTTAACATTTTTACAGCAAACAAGAGATCCCTGTGCTCAAATCCCAACATATACCAGTGTGCAGAGGGTCCTCAGAATTTCTAGTGTTAATATGTGGTTACACCCCTTTAGCACCTGATGGATAAATGCATGCACTAGCTGTATGGATTTGAGCACAGGGATCTCTTGTTTGTTGTATTGTTGGGTCAGTAGCCAGACCTGAACCTTGTAGCTTGAACCTTGTAGCTCTCCCCATTGTGTCTTTTCCCCTATTGTGTCCACAGCAGCATTTGCGTAGGCAGAGCAGAGTAGGACTGGCCATAGAGGGATTACTTTGACGCAGTTGGCCAGCTTAAGCATGTATTGCAATATGTGTGAACAAAATATCCCTATTTATTGCATAGTCTGCTTGAAAGGGTATATACCAGTGTGCAGAGGATCCTCAGAATTTCTAACATTTTTACAAGTTACCAGTTTAGAGTTACAGAGGAGGTCTAGTGCTAGAATAATTTCCCTTGCTCTAATGTTCACGGTGATACCTCACATGATGACCAAGTAGCACGGTGCGGTATAGCAAAAAAAAAATGACCCGGCCAAGGAGGGTGTAAAACCTTGTGGTCACACGTGGTTAAAAAGAAAGAAAAAAACATCCTTCGGGAAAACAATTCTTAGGGATTGCCACCAGAACTAGTGTGCCCATTGGAAGATTTCCCCCCTGTTATGTCTCTGGACAACCCAAAATTTGGGTTTTTCTTTTACTTTCACTTTCAATGATAACACCGTGGTGCAAGCACCGTTTACCTATGCGTTCACGTTTTACGTATGATTTCACTTCTGTGTGTGAACACGGTGGGATGGGTATGCTTTAAAAAAAATGTTTATTTTTCTTATTCATTTATTTATTTTATTTTTATTTATGTAAACATCCCTGATAATAGAAATTTGCATGGCAGTGTCAAAATACCCCAAATCTCTCCCCTACCTTTAAAGTAAAACTATAGGCAACTTTTTTTTTCCAGTTTGAATGGAGCAACCCTTGTCAAATTTTGTTTTCGCCAATTGTGTCCTATTGTGGAGATTTCCCTTCACTTCCTGTCCCATAGCCAAACAAGAAGTGAAAAGAAATCTCAGCAAATTAATGGAATTTCTTGGGGACCCCCCCAGGTCACCAGAACCAAATAGGGGGGAAATCTTCCAATGGGCACACTAGTTCTGGTGACATGGGGGTCCCCAAGGAATTCCCTTAATTTGCGGGGATTTCTTCTCTTTGTGGACAACCCAAAATTTGGGTTTTTCTTTTCCTTTCACTTTCAATGATAACAACCACCCCAACTGTTGTCGGGCCTGGGACTAAACATCGTCAATATACCCTGACAGTACAGTACTTTCACTGTCTGTTACCTCTAGGGCAAGACACATGGTATGAATGGGCGCACTAGTTCTGGTGACATGGGGGTCCCCAAGGAATTCCCTTAATTTGTGGGGATTTCTTCTCTTTGTGGACAACCCAAAATTTGGGGTTTTCTTTCACTTTCAATGATAACAATCACCCCAACTGTTGTTGAGCCTGGGACTAAACATCGTCAATATACCCTGACAGTACAGTACTTTCACTGTTACCTCTAGGGCAAGACACATGGTATGAATGGGCGCACTAGTTCTGGTGACATGGGGGTCCACAAGGAATTCCCTTAATTTGTGGGGATTTCTTCTCTTTGTGGACAACCCAAAATTTGGGGTTTTCTTTTACTTTCAATGATAACAACCACCCCAACTGTTGTTGAGCATGAGACTAAACATCGTCACTATACCCTGACAGTACAGTACTTTCACTGTCTGTTACCTCTAGGGCAAGACACATGGTATGAAAAACTTAATTGACCATCCACACGTCTCCAACAAATCATCGTTCCGGTCAAAGTTGCACGTTGGAAACTTTTGTTGCGAATTATAAAATCTAAAGTCACCCCGCATGTTGTGTTCTACCGTAGAAAATATTATTTTATGACCCCCCCCATGAGCAGTTTATAGTTGAGAATCAAACTGCCTAGGTGGCATGGGTCCAAAGGAAAAGACTTGGCTGAAAATTTGAAACAATGGCAACTTTACTCATCTTGACAACATCCAGATGGTCCTCCTCTTTTGTTGTAAGAGTGGAGTGCAGTTTCCACATAGGGTGTTGGTCCAGGTCCAGTGTAGTTCTCAGTCCCAGAGATTGGCAGATTGATTTTCAGTTTTTCGACCATTAGATGAATCTGTCAAACCAAATTTGTCAATCCCTGCAGATTAGGCGGTGTGGGCTTCGTCAGATCAGTTTATGGTAAAGCAGATTACCCATCTGTACCTGTCCTGCCCCTATTTTTGCTGGGCACGTATCTCAGGAAACGTTACCCACCATGACCGAACGTTACTCTGCAGAAAAGACACCAGCAAGACTCAAATGAGAAAGTCTATGTCTCCTACGACTGGGGAGGGAGAAACAAAAAGGTTCCTGCACCAGCTTACAAGAAATGGTCGTTCCACCCACCAGTGATATTTAGGCAAGGCTGGAGATTGGTGGGCTCAGTCAGCCCTGCCCACATGGAAGAAAAAAATATTTTAAATATATTTTTAAAATATTCTTCCCAAATATATTGACATATATTTGAAATACTACATTTTGGCCGAATTCAATATATTTCAAAGTATATTTAAAAAAAAAAATATTATATATATATATATATATTAAAAAAAATAAAAATACATGTTAAAATTACTTCTTTATATGTTCAAAAAATCTGAAGAATATATGTAAAATAAAATATTTAAAAAAAGTTTTATTATATTTTGTAATATATAAAAAATGCATTTCAAAATACAGTGTGTGTGTGTGTATATATATATATATATATACACACACATATACACACACTGACACTCAGTACAGAAATCACTGACACTCAGCACTGAAATCACTGCACACTGACACTCAGCACTGAAATCATCGCACACACTGACACTCAGCACTGAAATCACTGCACGCTGACACTCAGCACTGAAATCACCGCACACTGACACTCAACACTGAAATCCCCCACACACTGACATTCAGTACAGAAATCACTGACACTCAGCACTGAAATCACTGCACACGGACACTCAGCACTGAAATCACCACACACACTGACACTCAGCACTGAAATCAATACACACTGACACTCAGCACTGAAATCACTGCACACTGACACTCAGCACTGAAATCACTGCACACTGACATCCCCATAGACCCCCATCCATCCCTCTGGCTAATATATAAAAAATGAATTTCACATGTCACAAACATCCCCGACTGTCGCTCATTGTGCCGGCAGGATCATGATTAGGTGACAGCTTCCTGTGGATTTGGACCAAGTTGAGAGACACTCAGCACTCAAATCACTGACACTCAACACTGAAATCACAGCACACTGACACTCAGCACTGAAATCACTGCACAATGACACTCAGCACTGAAATCATCGCACACTGACACTCAGCACTGAAATCACTGCACACTGACACTTAGCACTGAAATCATCGCACACTGACACTCAGCACTGAAATCACTGCACACTGACACTCAGCACTGAAAACACTACACACTGACACTCAGCACTGAAATCACTGCACACTGACACTCAGCACTGAAATCACTGCACACTGACATCCCCATAGACCCCCATCCATCCCTCTGGCTAATATATAAAAAATGAATTTCACATGTCACAAACATCCCCGACTGTCGCTCATTGTGCCGGCAGGATCATGATTAGGTGACAGCTTCCTGTGGATTTGGACCAAGTTGAGAGACACTCAGCACTGAAATCACTGACACTCAACACTGAAATCACAGCACACTGACACTCAGCACTGAAATCACTGCACAATGACACTCAGCACTGAAATCATCGCACACTGACACTCAGCACTGAAATCACTGCACACTGACACTTAGCACTGAAATCATCGCACACTGACACTCAGCACTGAAATCACTGCACACTGACACTCAGCACTGAAATCACCGCACACTGACACTCAACACTGAAATCACCGCACACTGACACTCAGCACAGAAATCACTGACACTCAGCACTGAAATCATTACACACTGACACTCAGCACTGAAATCACTGCACACTGACACTCAGCACTGAAATCACTACACACTGACACTCAGCACTGAAATCACTGCACACTGACATCCCCATAGACCCCCATCCATCACTCTGGCTGATCAGCTCTGCAGGGAAAAGATCCTGCCCTTTGCGTTCCACTGATTTGAAAGCTGTGCGTTCCAAAGTCCGGATGTCGCTGTGGATATCCTTCCCCGGTGCCTCGCCCATATAGTTCCGCTCGGCCACTTTCTTCCTCTTGCTGCAATCGGCTCGCGCTGGGTTGATCATATACAGAAGGCGTGACTTCCGACGGCGCTTGGAGAGTAGATGGAACGCAGAACCCGGCAGCTAGCCAGGAACCCAAGTGGAACGCACAACCCGGAAGTCTGCCTGTACAGACAGGAAGTGTGTTTTTTTTTTTTTCCTGTAATATTGGACGCCCTGTACATGATAGTTATGGTGAGAAGGGAGAATTTGAGAGCTGGTGGTGTCATCCAGGTGTCAGTGTGTACCAAGCAGGGTGGATAGTTCCTTTAAGAGTCTATAAACACAAGTAGGAACTCAATTGTCATCAACAAATTGGACTATTCCTGGTGTATTGTGTGCAATGGATCTCTTCTGTCATCGGCTAGATATAGATTATCCACGGTACGCATGTAAGATGTCGGAACTAGATTTATGCCATCTTATTGTAGTGTTTTTTAATGCAGGATGAGGCAGACTTGAGAGACCGTAGCTAGTAGAAGCGGAGTCCTGCCATAAGAACAGACCAGACCATAGACGATGGAGAAGAACCGCGGTCACATGACCGAGAGGATATTAAACCTCACCCTGGAGATCATCTACCTGCTAACCGGAGAGGTGAGGAGGATTCTGGGAGGTCACATGACATCACTCATTTCTTAATAAAACACAGACCTGACCGGAGAGGTGAGGAGGATTCTGGGAGGTCACATGACATCACTCATTTCTTAATAAAACACAGACCTGACCGGAGAGGTGAGGAGGATTCTGGGAGGTCACATGATGTCACTACTATCTCTATTAATAAAACACAGACCTGACCAGAGAGGTGAGGAGGATTCTGGAAGGTCATATGACGTCACTCTTATCTCTATTAATAAAAGACAGACCTGACCAGAAAGGTGAGGGGGATTCTGGGAGGTCACATGACATCACTCTTATCTCTATTAATAAACCACAGACCTGACCGGAGAGGTGAGGAGGATTCTGGGAAGTCACATGACATCACTCATCTCTATTAATAAAACACAGACCTGACTGGAGAGGTGAGGAGGATTCTGGAAGGTCATATGACATCACTCTCATCTCTATTAATAAAACACAGAGCTGACCGGAGAGGTCAGGAGGATTCTGGGAGGTCACATGACATCACTCTCATCTCTATTAATAAAACACAGGACTGACCGGAGAGGTCAGGAGGATTCTGGGAGGTCACATGACTTCATTCATCTATTAATAAAACACAGACCTGACCGGAGAGGTGAGGATTCTGGGAGGTCACATGACATCACTCATCTCTATTAATAAAACACGGGACTGACTGGAGAGGTCAGGAGGATTCTGGGAGGTCACATGTCATCACTCATCTATTAATAAAACACAGACCTGACCGGAGAGGCGAGGAGGATTCTGGGAGGTCACATTTACTAATATTATTATTGTCTCTTTTAATGAAACATTTGATGGTTGAACTACAGCCATGACGTGAATGTCCTTTTCAGAATTCCATGTACTCCATCTCAGTCTATTCTTGGACTTTCTTCTGTAGGTGTATTAATTAATATTGCTCTTAATAAACAGGACTGCTCAGTCGTTACAAACTCTGGTGAGTGTTTGTTAGCTAGCAGCCGTCCCCGGTTATCCAGAAAACCACGGAAAACCCAAATTTCTCCAGCCAGCAGGCAAAAATGTGAAGGGATTCATGAAGAGAAGATTCTAGAAGTCACCCAGAAGATCATTGAGCTGCTGACAGGAGAGGTGAGCGGTACCAGGAATTCTGGGACATTTTCCAGTAACAGACAAGGGATGTGTCTAGATGGTGACTGTATCATTATGTGTGTCAGGTTCCTATAAGGTATCAGGATGTCACTGTCTATTTCTCCATGGAGGAGTGGGAGTATCTAGAAGGACACAAGGACCTCTACAAGGATGTCATGATGGAGGACCAGCCGCCGCTCACATCACCGGGTAAGAGGAGACTTTCACTTCTTGTATTGAGGATGCACCTAGATACACACATCCTCTGATATAAAGACATAGAAACAATAGAGGAGTGGGAGTATCTAGAAGGACACAAGGAACTCTACAAGGACGTCATGATGGAGGACCGACCGCCCCTCACATCACCGAGTAAGAGGAGAATATATCATAGATGGGATGATTTCATAATGGTTTCTTACACATTTATTATCTTTAAAATATTCTCCTTTGTCTTAGGCTTCCTCTGTCTTGGCCATGCCAAATCAAGGTACTGCATTCTGATAGACACTTTGAGTGTGACCTTAGGAAGTAGGTTCTTCAGGACAGGTTTCAACTCTTCCCACTCAACAAAAGCTGTTTAGGGATTTACAGTCCCTAAACGTCTAAAGGAGAACTGAACGCTATGAAAGGTCCAAGACCTTCCTGGAAATTAGCTCTGGTTTGATGGGCAGGGTTCTACCACAAACACCTGATTGCCTCTGTCAACAATCGCCTTAAATACCAGTCTGTCCCTGTGCAGCTAAGGTCCTCTGCTCCTCCACATCAATTGATGAGCTGGGTATATGGAAGAGTCCACAGCCACTTTAAGTACGCCAACATTTATTTACAATTCTTTCTTTCACAGATACCTCGGATTGTGAAGACAAAGAGGACTTGTTTTTTTGGGAACCCGTAACTCCTTCTCGATCAAGTATTTCGACACCTGTAAATCACACAGCGTATACAACGGCTCCTCATAAAGGGGAACCAATTTTAGTGGAGGACGATAGAGATTTGGACACAATGACCATCCCTGCTAGCCGATCACAGATTATGCCTTCTTTTGTCAGGCAGAAACCCTTCCCATGCCAAGAACTCCTCCCCCACTCCGACCTGTATTTGGACATGGATGACAGCCATTACGCAGCCATTCAGATTAAGGTGGAGTCGGAAAGCCTATCGGACGTAGAGGAGTACAGCGCGACAGATAGCCTGCAGTATTCATCTATTCATATTAAGGAGGAGTCGATGTCGTGCGATGAAGGGAACGTCGATAGTGTGGAGGGTTATATTTTGGAAGATCCACCGCCATATGGGGCCCCTCATGAGGAGGTGAATGGACCAGCTTGGCATAAATATACTCCCAGGAACTCAGAACGCCATAAAAGCGGCCCAGTGGCTCAGGAGGCTCCACCTGTTATATGCTCGGAGTGCGGTGAATTCTTTTCCAACGATTCCATGCTTGTCTTGCACCAGATGACCCACAAGGGTAAGAAAATTTACTCCTGTCCCGAGTGCGGCATGTGTTTCAGCAGCAACACCTATCTGACGGTGCACCTGGCCACGCACGCTGAAAATAAAGCTCTATGCCTGTTGCGAATGCGGCAAGCGGTTTGCCACCGAGCAGGACTGTGTCAAGCATGAGAACGCCCACACGGTGAGGAAGCCATATGTCTGCACCGAGTGCGGCAAGGTCTTCTCCAACAACTCAAACCGCGTCCGGCACCAGAAGATTCACACGGGCGAAAAGCCCTTCTCCTGCGCTGTGTGCGGCAAGAGTTTCAGGCGCAAGACGCATCTGACCATACACAGCCGCGTCCACACGGGGGAGAAACCCTTTACGTGCCAGGAGTGCGGGAAGTGTTTTAGCTGCAGTGCCCACCTTACTGCTCACCGCCGGATCCACAGGCGGGAAACCATCTATTTGATGTGAAGGATGGGGAAGCTGTGGAGAAGCCTTCAGAGTCCCAGGATTAACGGAAGAAGGAAAGTTCAAGAGGCATGGCTGCTTTGGATATGGGAATGCCAACACCAAGCTTGGCGAATGTCGGAGAGATTTCTGGAATATGAACCATCATCCATGACACCTTTATAGATTGAGAAATATATTTTGTTAAATCTTGGTCTTGCCTCCCCCCCACATGGAGCTAGGTTTCTACAAATAAGCAGAACCAACGGTCTATCCCAACCGACCAAGCCATGGCACAGTTTGTGATTACCATAGTAGTTGGCTTGGCTAATACAGACATGTCTTTCCCCAAGTATCTTTTCCATCATTCAGCTTTATGCAGACCTTGAACGTCTTCTATTTACTATAAATTTAGTTGCTGCTGGCCCAAAGGAAGACTTCCACTTATTTTAAAGTGGAGAATTGGTAGACCGATGAAAAGTGAGTCGGTCATGTCAACACTCCCCATTTCACAATAAGCAGATGGCCTGTGTCTCAGATAAGAGTTGGGCCAAGTGTAGGAGATGCTTTTCTCAAGAGCTTCAACAAAATGGCGGCCCTCTGCACACCGACTCCCTGTTGCATAAATGTAAACGAGAAGGGTAAAAGATGCTTTTTGCCTTTTTCGGGGCTTAATGGTAGAAGTAAACAGGTTCAGGAACTAACTCAATTCAGTATCAGGCTAAAAGCCTTCATTAATTTTAAAACGGACCTTCCACAAAACCGTACTCTTACATAATTGCTTACCTTAATTTTTTATGCCCAATGATTTTACTCCCTTGTTAAAAACCTTCATTCATTTTAAAACGGACCGTCCACCAAACCCTCATCTTACATAATTGCTTACCTTAATTTTTTATGCTGATGATTTTACTCCCTTGTTAAAAACCTTCATTAATTTTAAAATGGACCTTCCACCAAACCCTCCTCTTACATAATTGCTTACCTTAATTTTTTATGCCCAATGATTTTACTCCCTTGTTAAAGTCCTTCATTAATTTTAAAACGGACCGTCCACCAAACCCTCATCTTACATAATTGCTTACCTTAATTTTTCATGCCGATGATTTTACTCCCTTGTTAAAACCCTTCATTAATTTTAAAACGGACCTTCCACCAAACCCCCCTCTTGCATAATTGCTTACCTTAATTTTTTATGCCCAATTATTTTACTCCCTTGTTAAAAGTCTTCATTAATTTTAAAATGGACCGTCCACCAAACCCTCATCTTACATAATTGCTCACCTTAATTTTTTATGCCCAATGATTTTGCTCCCTTGTTTTCTGCCTCGGTGAAGGGGATGCAGCTCATCTCTGCCCCCAGCTGGAATACAATTCAGGCATCCCAGAAGGCTGCAGCACTGTAGGTGCCAAACTCTTGCAAGATCTCCTGACACAATGGCAACTTAAAGACGTGGTCCCAGATTTTGTGCATGTGCAGGCGAGGTGTCTTTCACTTTATACGTTGCCATAGTGTCAGGGGATCTCACAAGATTTCAGCTTTTATGGCCCTGCAGCCTTCTATGATGCTCAACGTGTCCCAGGAGGCTGAAGGTGGAGATCTCCCGACGCTATGACACCATTTTCCGTCAAAGACAGGGTATTAGATCTCCTGTGTGTGCGTGAGACTTGGCACCTCATCATTAGGGGCCCACCTGCAAGAACTAGGGAGAGACAGCCAGTTCCTGATGGAGAAGAAAATAAAGAAGACAGCACAGGACAGGAGGTACAGTGGAAAGGTGCCAGGGGTGAAAACCACACTAGGGTTTGTTGGACTTCTCCAGGAAGCATCGAAGGTAAAGGGCACATGGGAAACAGTTTTCATGGGTATGGGGGAAGGTCCGCTTTAGGCTTGTCTTCCAGGAGGCGAGCATTGGTAGCTTTAAGGGTCAGATAGTGATTTTTCAGTATGTCGTAGATGCTGGTGATTTAAATAGAGATGAGTTTGGGCATCCACCAAGGCTACCTCTAGCCGAACTCCGAACCCAAACTCATTTTTTACTTCCACTGAGCTGTGGGCCCGGTCATTCCCACCCCACAGATCACATAAAGAGTTGGCCTGCAGGTAGGGAATAACCTGGCCTGCAGCTCATGGTAGTAAAAAACGAGCAAGACTCCAGAGTTCAGCTAAAGATGAGTTTGAAGAACGGCCAAGCTCATTTCTAGACTTTCTTTTACCTCCCAGGGTTTCTGTTTTGTGAGATCTCTGTGCTTCCTGGTTTTCAGTTCTGTTGACCTGCTTTGACCAATGTGATGGTCGGAGTTGGGATATATGGCAGAGATATCTCACTGTTGGAGTATCCAAGACATAAAAGAAGTCAAGGGCAAACTCAGCCCACCAGACCTCCAATCACCCCCCTCTCTTTCCAAAAAAAAGAAAAAATCTGAAGAAGATTGGGTATTGTGTAATCATAACTTAGATCTGCAGGAGCTTGCCATGGAATTAAAAAAGTAGGGCTTGGAGCCAATGGTTAGGCAGTTTATGACCATAAAGGTGTCTTGTGTTTATATTAGACACCTAATTGTCCAGATGTATGGAAGGAGCATTACAAAGGAGATCTGTGATAGGCAGTAATTGTAAATAAAATGGACACCAAAATTGTGTGTTGTAAAAATTGCAGCCACAAAAGTACTTTTTGTGGTGCCTTTTTTGGCTGCTTTTCCTTAGCATGTCTGAATCAGAGTGAGAGGACACCTCTCATGATGCAACAGAGGAACAGGACACCTTTTATGATGCACAAGAAGACCAGGTCTCCTCTTATGATGTACCTGAGGAACAGGTCTCCTCCCATGATGTACCTGAGGAACAGGTCTCCTCCCATGATGTACCTGAGGAACAGGTCTCCTCCCATGATGTACCAAGGTAAAAGGTCACTTCTCATGGTGCACTAGAGGAACAGGTCACCTCTCATGATGTTCCTGAGGAACAGGTAACCTCTCATGATGCCCAAGAGGGACAGGTCACCAGGTTACCTGTCATGATTCACCAAGGTAAAAAAGGTCACGTCTCATGATGCACCAGAGGAACAGGTTACCTCATGATGTTCTAGAGGAACGGGTTACCTCTCATGATGTTGTAGAGGAACTGGTTACCTCTCATGATGTACCAGAGGAACAGGTTACCTTTTATCCTCTACCAGAGGAACGGGTTACCTCTCATGATGTTCTAGAGGAACAGGTCACCTCTCATTCTGTATCTGGAAAAGGTCACCTCTCATGATGTTCCAGAGAAACAGGTTACCTCTCATGATGTACCAGAGGAACAGGTTACATTTTATCCTC